ATTTGCTGAACCGTGTAGGACATGTGTTTAAGTATTTTTTGCAAACACCTAGAATCAAAAAGAGAGGATTGAAAGGTGACTTAAAAAATTTGACACTCACAGGGCATTGAAGTGAAGAGAGGTAAAGTGAAAAAGTGTGTAACAAGCTTATGTAAATGGATGACATAACAAGGAATGAAAGGGATAGTAGGAAATGAAACATTGCTTAGAGTTATAAAGGATAGAAAAACGTGGAGAGCTATTACTACTAAAGGAACACAGTACATAAAAGAAAAGGCCTACCACACTACATGGATATAAGATTTCACTCAACATGGTGATGGTCATTAAAAGAAGTGAAGTATTCGCTGGACAGTGGGGTATTTAGATGAAAAGAATAATACGATTGGTCAGAAAAGTTACTTTCCCGACATCGAAAGTGCAATTTTCTTCTCAAATTGAGTCTAGAAAAATTAGTCCGAATAATTCTTCGGATCTCGGCGTCACACTTACCGTCCTCTATTAGAACACATCCCAGATATTTAAATTTCCACACCTGCTTGATTTTAGTGTCCTCCACCTGTTAATGATATTTCAGGCTCATCTTTCTACTGATCGCCATACATTCTGTCTTCTTGTAGTTTATACCTAGTCCCTTCTTCTCGCTCTCCTTTGCTGCCTTCTGTAGGTTTTTTAGTTTCATTTCCGCGTCTGCTATCAGCACAATGTCATCTGCGTATCTTATGTTGTTAAGATTGTGACTACCAATGATGAATCCTGATAGACTTTCCAGTTATCTCAAAATTGCCTCGATGTAGAGGCTGAATAAGTCCGGTGAGAAGACACATCCTTGCCTTACGCCCCTTTCTATTTTTGTATATCTGCTGAACTGTTTTTTTTTCATACATGTAATTTATCTAATTTTTCTATTTTATTTTCTACTTTTATCTTTTTTTCTTTATATCTTTTAAATTTTGTCTCTTAATATTTGCTATAGCACCTGTATATATATATATATATATATATATATATATGTGTGTGTGTGTGTGTGTGTGTGTGTGTGTGTGTGTGTGTGTGTGTATGCGCACACAAACAGGTCTGCATTAATTACTTGCACATTTATTTATTGTTAATTCTTGAAGCCGCTGCATTTAATGGAAACATTTCCTGCGTAGTAAACTCAGCGTGTGTTTTTCTTGATACCTTTGCAGAGAGTGGATATTGTGACTTATAGGTTAAAAGTTAAAACTTTATAGCTGTTTCACACTCCCAGTCTACAACTCACCCACAGTCATAAATCCGATCGTTAATGCTTCTCTTTCTTAAGCCTTATTTTTTTTTTAGCTGCGTAGATAACTTGATATATTGTATACCCCCGCACTAGAAACCATGTATCTACTATACTAAATCAAATGGGAGTAAGGAATGCGCATACATCCCAAAGCAAACTTTGTTAGCCCTCACGTACATGAGCGAGCTTGTCTTGGTAACTTTAAGTCTCAAACCAATACAATGTTTCTGGCCCACGAAGTTCGGATGCCTTGACTTCTAGTCAGTCGAGTATATTTCCTAAGTTGGTTGTCTCTTCATTAAGGGTGCTGGAGGTAGACGTTTTCTGAGTTTTGACGTTAGCTGCCTGATAATCAGGGATCCGAACCTTCGAGTAACTCCAAAGGAGGCTATCCTATCAACATGTGTATAATATCGGGGCTACTGTACTGCCATTTTGCGATGATTTCTGGACCGTGCAGTAGACTTCAATCAAACCAATTAAAATGAAAATGAACAAAACTAGCAAACCCAACCTAAAAAAAAGTTGACCCCAGGCCAACGTGTGATGCCTACGTTTAAACTTTCCAGAAATAGAACTCCATCTTCTTCAGTCCAAACCCGACCTCCTGTTACTGCCTGAAAGGGATATCAATGCCTCAAGCCCACTAGCTACTCACATCTAACAAAACACGACCACCTAAATCACAACTCCACGGCCACGGTCTCTGAGCCTACATCAAAGATGAGTTTCCCTGTGGCAGGGACGCAAAAAACAAGGACACTGAGCTCCCGTATGTGTGCTTCTGCGTGGCATTTATCTATGTGCCACATTCGTCTTTGCTCTCTATTGCCCTTAGGACGAAGTGACAGTAATCTTTGATTGAATATCATGAGATGATTGATAATATCCTCATTCAATTTCTCTCGGCTAGCGTTCATATCTGCGGTGAATTCAATATCCACCATAAAGAGCGGTTAGTCCACTCACAAAAAAAACGATGATGAAGGCAAATATTGCAGAGACTTCTCCGTCGCCTATGAACTAACCCAAATGGGACAGATTTCGATCCTACATGGAAGCTCCCCTCTCAATCTTCTTCAAGCATGCTACCCCCAAAACTGCTGCTATTGTCTCAGAATGGGCCCTTTCTGGAATGAAGACTTTTATACCAAAATAAATTCCAACAAAAAACAATCAACCCTGGTTCACCCCTGAATACACAGCAGACATAACTTACTGGAACCTCTACTTCATTATCGCAAGGAGCGATAGAAACTTAAACTTTAAATGCATTCCGAGCTATCCGCAATCGCTGCAGAAATGTTCTAGAAAACGCTAAGTGCAGCTATGCACAATCAGTCCAGGCCAAGGTTGAAAAGAAACAAATTGGATCCTGCGAATTCTGGAAGATCACCAACCAAATCATAGAGATAAAGCGGCTGTTCCCACAATTAGAAATTGTCCCGAGGTTATATCTTTCTTGAGAGACAAGGCGAAACTCTTCGCTTCAATATTTACCTCAATTTCAACATTAGACGACAAAGACCACCCCCAACTTCCTACGTCTCACTAAGCACAATCTCATTACAGCACGCGAAATCTCTAGACTTATCAAAAGCCTTGATCCTAAGAATGTCACTATTAGCCCAGACAAAATTCCAGTGGTTGCCCTTAATAATATCAAACTGGAATTATCCCCAATCCTAGTTATTCACCCGCTACTTGATTGAGAAATCCTTCCAAAGCCTGTGGAAGGCGTCAAGCATATGCCCGGGTTTCAAGAACGCGGGGGTGCGATCTTCCCACTCTCAGTACAGACCCATCAGTCTTTTCAGTAAGTGTTTTGAAGCCACAATCAATGAGGTCGCCGAACAACTAGAAAAGAACAACCTCTTCAGCTACGAGCAGTATGGATTTCAATCAGCCCGATCCACTGCCGACGTCCTAACAACCATCACTCATAGGATTAGTGAGGCTCTTGATGACAAACACACCTCGAGCACCATAGCAATAGATATCTCGAAGGCCGTTAACAAGGTGTGGCACAAAGATTTACTACACAAACTCTCCAGCTATAGAATCACCGGAAGAATCTTCTCCATCATAAAATCCCTTCTAACGCTACTCAGGCCAACCCTCTTTTTGATTCACATAAATGATCTGCCTAAGAATATACTCCCATCATTTGTAAACTTCTATGCCGATGATACAACTATATGCGAGCGCACCTCTAAAACTCTTGATGGTCAGAGATTAACAAGTAATCTCTCTTCTGATCTAGCACTAACTACCCAGAGCGGCAAAAACTGGCTGGTTACATTCGATGCCTTGAAAACCAAACTAGTTACATTTCAACATCGCTAATCTGATCCCGAACTGTCACCAGTCACGATGAACGGATGTCCCCTCGGAGAGGCACCGTGCCTTGAAAGGCTATTGGGCCTCAAACTCACACCTGACCCCAAGTGGAACTTGTACATACGATCCATTGCCAAAGATGCAGGTAAAATGATCGTCTCCCTACACCGCTTAAATACCTGACTCCACATACTATCCCCTATCTTTACAAGAGCCAGATCAATCCAAAAATGAAATACTGTTGTTGTATTTGGGCGGGAGATACCCAAACCTCATTCTCTAGCCGTGATAGAGACCAAAAGCGTCTCCGAGCCCTTGTAGGTGACGAATTATTCTTCAACCTTTAACCTTTCTCTCATAGACGGGATGTGGCAAGCCTGTCTCTACTCCATCGCTCGGACAAACTATATTCCCTGGTCCCACCAATTCAAACCTTCACGGCAAGGACATGCTATGTCACTTAACATAGCAGAAAACCACCCACACTCCCTCTGTATTCTATTGTTGAGAAGTTCCACTCGAACAGCTTCTTCCTACTAACCATTGCTCTGTAGAATCGACTCCCAAGAATATGTTTCCTCGATCACTACAATCTTAATCTCTTTAAGTATAGAGTTAACGTTATCTTCCCCCTCTATCCACACAAATTACCTCTTAACGTAACCCTTTACCTCGTGTGGCCCCCGAGCCTTGAACAGGGTGAACCTTACTGTAAAAAAAAGAAAAAGGAATCGTGTATTCACCTCACAATTTAGCAACCACACCTCCATTATAATAAATAGAAATAAAATAAAAAGAACACACCCATGTGTGCCTTACTCAAACATAAAATAAAAAGGTCATCGCGTCGCATTTTACATTCGTACTTTATGGAAGAAGTCAATCAAGGTAGCATAAATTTGACAGTAAACATGTTGATTAACTGAGCCGTGACCGAACCACACATAAGTTTTTACTTTAAAATATTATTAGTGACTTTTTTGAAACTTGATTTGATCGTTAACTCCACCCAAATTGTCCAGCCGATTACTGACACCAATCACAATTAAACTAAATAATTAGATGGCCTTTTCTTTTCCCTTCGGTATATTTCATTTATTGACAAATGTTTTTATTGAATGAGCCTAACCCACATTTTCTCTCAACCCCACTGTCCTGATACTGAAACTGAATTAACAATACCACTTGACTAACGCTTTCTCTGGATGGTATCCACGTTTTATTTTTCGCTGTGTAGTGGATTCGAATTACAATTAAAAGTTTACAAATTTGTATGTGTCAAGTAAATGTGGTAATGACGACATAAAACGCAATACAAAAATTAACTTCTCGATGGGGAAATTCACGTACTGAACTCAAAAAACAAGTGACAACCGTTTAAAATAGGAAGAGCTTTTTGTTGACGATTTTTTCTTTCTTTCATTATTCACTCGAAAGCTGGACAACATTCTACGTTAAATTGAGAGGTAAGAAACACTATTATAAACCTGCTTCGAACCGACCTCGTGATTATCGATTTTCTCTCTAAATTAATCAACTATCTAGTAAGCTTGTTATTTTATTTATTTTATCGGGTTTTACTAAGACCAGGAGACTAAATCTTGCTTGATTCGTAAAGCAGAAGTTGTCATTTTTGTTTGTATAAAAAAAACTCTTACAATTACCTTTTGAACGTTTTTCTTACAATTTCTTCTTATCAGTATTTAGTTCCGCTGGTCATTATATCCCCTTAACAAAAAAACATAACAAGTTTATTATAAAAAGCAGTAACTGTCCTGTCCTTGTAAATTTATTAAGGTGAAAATTTCACCTGATAACTCGTCGTTCCAATCTATATGCTATCTTCTTGCAACCATAACACAGTTATTTCTTCTTTTTTTATTTAATATCCCTAATTGACTCGTCCTAAAAATACTAACAATTATTATCTATGGTACGGAATATTAGAAGTAACAGGTGTTTATCACGCAATTTCTTCATTTTAATATTTTTTATTTTTCTTCACATGAAAAACTGATCAGCGATTTTCATCCTTAGTTTTATACATAGTTACGGATTTTGCTATAATCCGTCTTGACTATTAATCTTTTTTTTTTTTTTTTTAGCTGATGGTTTTAAATTAAATGTGAATTAAAGGATTTAAAAGGTGATAGGATTTTATAATTATTTATATTTCTTATTTCCACTAGGTGGAAAACGTTTTCTTTTTTTTCACGGTAATTTTACACGAATGAAAAAACGATATCGCCTTTATTTTTCCCATCACTGGCATTACCTGCCAACGTGTCCGTTCTTTCTTTCTACGTGACTTCTTAGCAACCAACAATTATTATTTATTGTCTCATTTTCTCTCTAAAAATTACTTTTCATTCCTGTTTTTCTTTTTAATTTACAATCTTAATTATTCGAGAAAAAACTGCTTTCAATTTGTTAAACTGGTTTGTAGATCTTTATTTTCCTACTCTATTTGTTTCATTCCTTTTGACTTCATTTTCTTTTCTTTTTCTTTTTTTTTCTTTTACTTTTTTTTTCTTTTTTTTTTTTTTTTTTTTTTTTTTTTTTCTTTTTTTTTTTTCTTTTTTTTTTTTCTTTTTTTTTTTTTTTTTTTTTTTCTTTTTCTTTTTTTTTTTTTTTTTTTTTTGGTTTAAGACTTTGGGTATATGACTCATTCTTGCGTAAAATAAATAAAATGAACAAATGACTAACTTATTTCGAGAATCAGTAATAAAATTTTCGTAGTACAGGATAATGTGAATTCTGGAAGCTTACTGAATATTTGAAACTTTGTTGTTGTTCATAGTAAGTAGTTGTAATTAGAAAAATACTAAGGGTTTTTTCGTCAGTCCATGCTACGGAAGCTTTAAGGAAGATTAAAGTGCATTTTCTTTTCACCGACCAGAAACTCAATTCGTAATATTAGTTTCAAGTTAAATTCTAATAGCCGTCATGCTTAGGGTTCCCTAACAATTTCCTTGGATTTTTTTTTCTATTTTTCGAATAGAAAAACAAAATGCAATTTTTTTTTTCTGTTTAGGCTTCCATACTTTAAAATTACACACAGTTTTTAATTCCGATTCCAGATTTTTTAAGAAACTAAGCTTACGGTATTTTGGTTCAAGGCCACAAGTTTCGAGCACCCAGTGAGGATCGAACGCACCACCATGCTGCTGACCATTCTTGTTTGCCAAATATTGTATTCTCCCAGATGCTTTTGAGACTTTTTGGATATCAGAAAGTCGGAACTTCAATGTCTTCTCACTGATATTCGTTAGTTAAGAAATAAAAAAGTAAAAACATTATTTTTAGACGAAAAATAAACATAAGAAACGATTGTTCTTATTAATATCTTTAATCGTTTTAATAAGAATGTTGTACTTTCACATTTCATTACTTGATTAGCAGCCAGATACATTTTTCGTTGAAAATCAGCAGCATGATGAATAAAGTTCCCAGACATAAAAACAAAGTTTTATTGTCAAAAATGTTTATTATTTAAAGGAAGACCAAAGTATTTTTAATTATTTTATTAAATGTTTTAATCCTGGCTAACACGTTTAAAACTTTGGTTAAAAATCTTTTTTTTTTTTTTTTTTTTTTTTTTTTCGTTAGCGTCACTGCCTTTCTCCGGTGAAAAACACATTGATTTAGAAATTCTTACAAAAATCGAATAATTGTCGGATTTTAATGAAAGTTTTAGAACTTATTCAAAAATGAATTAAATTATTTTTGAAATTCTCTTTTTAGAAAATCATGGTAAACTAAAAATATATTTTTTGTTATATATAATTTCTACGGCATTCTAGACAGCTGTCATATACAAACACACGCAAACCAAGGGTCTGTTTGGCTTAAATAGGAGTATACACTAAAAATAATGTTTGAAGTAATATTATAAAATCCATTAATTGCTTCGGAATTGGTTTGTCTACATTTCTCATACGAAACCGAGCAGATATGGCTTTCGACAAAATCTTAACGAGTGAATGTGCTTTAGTTTAAGGTAAATAGAACGTTGCTTGACTGATGAAGCTCTCCTCCTTACCCGAGTGGTTAAAGCACCCCACCCCAGACGATGGTTCCTCTTGGGTGACAAGGATTCGTATCCTCCCTGAGGATACATTTTCTCCGTAAAGTTTTCGTATGTGCGCAGGCCGGTAGACGAAATAAACATAAAAAACGGAGCGTCTACTCAAATACGGACATCCACTAAAAATAACATTTGAAATAATATCTATATCTATCATATACAGTGGGAGAAACAAATATTCGTACACATACAGATATTTAATTTATTGTATTTTCAACTAATGAATAAACATACTTTTCATATAATTAACTGTACACAGATGCATAATAATTAAATATCCACTGTAGTGGATATTGAAGCCAATACTCAGCAGCGACAGTCTGTTTCATGCTAAAATACGATCTTCAAACCATTTGTGTTGTTTTGGCTCGACTATTTATATATGCTGATCAATGGTACATTATGGATAGACAGTCTATTATCTCAATTGTTCCTGGTGGGTAGCGGGTATGTTTCAAATTATTCTAGAGGCTATTCAGTAGGAATAATTGTAGGTCCGAATGCAATTGCTTGTAGCAATTTAAGAGTTTAACTTTTTTACTTAGTGATTATTTTATTTTTTATTTATTATTATTATTACATTTACCTGAGTTTACCTGTGCAATCATAAATTGTTAATTTGTTTATTATTTAAATGTATATGTATACATATTTATTGATGTAGATTTTTGTTTATTTTATTTTACTTATTTTCTACTTTAGTTTTCGATTTTTAACTAACGTCACAAAAATTTGTTTTCGTATATGCAATTTGAGATTAGTTCTGATCGTTTAGTAGTTTGTATTTGTCGGGGTGGGTAATTATCGCTATTTTCACCTCCAGACCGAGTTTATAGTTGTTTTTTTTATTTATTGTTGTAGGCGGATGCCGGTTTCCTTATTTTCCATGATATTTTAGTGTGATTTTGTTTTCGCTTTTAATTTCCCAAATCTGTTTAGAAAGCATTATCTTCGCGTATTTACTACTCATAAAGGATGTTTTGTGTGCGTAGTCTGTTTCCAGGGTCTGCCAGTTACCCCTATGTATATTATTTCTTCGTTATCTGCTAATTTTACAGAGGCTTGGTATATTACATTGTTTTGCAAGCATTTGCCCTTTAAGGGGCATTTGTTCTTCGTTCTGCAGTTACACGTGGGTCATTATTTTTTTCAGGTGATTTGTTGATCGTTTTTCTGTTCTTTGATTTTCTTATTATTCGTGTCATGTTCTCTGTGCAACTGTAACTGATTTTTATTGTGTTTTTGCTGAATATTTTGTGGACAGTTCTTGATGCGGGGAAATGTTTGTGTACGAGTTTAATGAATATTTTTCCTACTTTTTTTTTTACATTTTTGAATATTTTTCCTACGTTTGTTTTTACATTTTTGTTGTACGGTAGGTTGAACTAGATGATGTTTCTTTTCCTGTTGCTTTTTTTGTGATGTGAATGCGAGTGTTACCGAAAATCCACACTCTTTCAGAGCTGTTTCATAATCTTTCTTGACTTCGTTGAAGATGGTTTCGCTGGAAGAATTTTCAGATAACCTACAGATCCTGCAATCAATCAACCATATATACACACACACACACACACACACACATATATATATATATATATACATACACATACATAAGTGGACACTGAGGTCAACTTTTATATTCACATATGCTCTTTCTAATATTGACCACTTTACCCACCATAAATCTAGCATGCCTCAAAACTATATTTTATTATATTAATGTATATTTGAACATCAACCTTCGTTTTAAATATGTTTCGTTGAATATGACAGACAAGAACAAATCAGATTTGTTAACCATAAATTAGCAAAGAAGGAAAAAACACATTGTAAAATTTCTAGAGGAGGGTGATAGGCTGATATGTCCGTTCTATATGCTGTTAAAATACAATGCTTCCACGCGATTTGCGTTTTGTTAATGGTTGGCATTTTTAAGTACAGGGTCGATAAATTGACAAATAAACTTTTTTTTTTTTTTTCAGATCATTTTTTAATTGCCCAGTAATCTTTAAAATTAAGTCTTACGATATCACGTTGAAATTCTCGTACGATCACCGATGTTAAGCAACGTCGAGCCTGGTTAGTACTTTGATGAGGGAATACCAGTTGCTGTAAGCTTGAATATGTGGATGATGTAATGGATAGTCAGTCAGTTATGTGCCATGCGTGATACACGCATAGGCGATCATGTAATTTTCGATACGTGACTGACGAGGCAGATTTTTCCCGCAGTAGGTTGCCATTTCTTTCTGCAGTAGACCAGTTGCCATCCAAGACTATAGAACCCGGTTTGTCCTGCTATTATCCCCTTTTTCTGAGGCGAGGAGAAAAAAGGAGATTCATACCTTTTCCCATGCACGTAAGTGAATTTAATGGATT